TTCATTTCGTAACGTGAATCACATAAGAGAAAATATTAATTGAAATCATACAGAATAATCGATATAAACACAAGGTCATAAGATGTGGCCCAGAGTTTACTCAATATCGTAAGAAGTTTAAACGCTTTTGTCAGCAAAAACGGGGAAAGACGTCTGAGATAACAGTTTGGAAGGGGAAGTGTGTAAACAGGGAGCAAATGATAACAAGGCAGGTTTAGGTACATTACATGCTCCAGCTGTTTACGTAGGTCGGGTTTGAACCGCCATATGTAGGCTCCCTGTTAACACATTTCCCCTCCCAAGTTTTTTTGCAAATTGGCTCTAATTCCTTCACAAGCCATTGCGCCAGGCTACGAAATGGTGAGATTGTTATGGTGAGATTGTTATTGGTCGTAAAGGAATATCCTTTTATGCGTTATTTGTAAACCGTATAGTCGTGGAATGTAGGAACCCTGGGTTTTCTGGTCATCCCTGGTCATCAATTAATGAACATCTGATAGACTCGGGCGATTCTGTTGACCCAAAAACGTCTTTCCGAGTACTTTTTCAAGCACAAACAACACGCACCTTACGCTACCTGGAGGCAGTCTACATACGGCGCTTCAAACCCGACCTATGTAAACAGCTGGAGCATGAAGTGTACCTAACCCTGCCTTGGTATCATTGGCTCCCTGTTTACACACTTCCCCACCCAAGCTGTTCACTCAGAGGTCTTTCCCCGTTTTTTTGCTGACCGTAGCGTTTAAACGTGTTATGTTATTGATTAACCTCTGGGCCACTTCTTATGATCTTGTTTTTATATCGATTATTCTGTATGAATTCAATTTGTATTTTTTCTTACGTGATTCACGTTACGCAATGAGAGGCAGCAACTGAAGAGCTCTCTCGAAATGACGTGGATCCAACAAATCTTGCTGTTATTGCTGTCTTCAAATACACAGCTATCATGACGTCCTTCAGTTTTTTTAAGGAAGTGTGTTTAGGATACATCTGTATGAACCAAGCCGTCCATTTGTAAGGCTGACGAACATTGCAGAAGTCCGTTAACTACGGAGAAACGTACACGGATGTTGTATCTGCTGGTGTTCGTTCTGAGTTAGTTCTCAGCATGCAGCTTATTCTCAAGGCATATTTTTATCATCTTCGTGTGAAAAACAACGGTGCTATTTAGCCATTGATTTTTACCAACCCGTCACTAACCACGCATTGTGAAAAGGCTTTTAAATTAAACAAACACCTACACAATTAATGAGATAGTCGAAACTTTACTATAAATATCCCCAATTCATCAATACGCTCAATAAAACCTGCATATTTTGAAAATCAGGCTGACCCAACGGTGGAATTCTATAGAAATACGTTCGAACTTTCGTTTGAAGCAAATACCCTAACAGTACATGTCAGCATAAAATAGACTCATCCTCACGCAAAAATGTGTGACCATGCAAGATGACGGATATATCACTAACTGTGGCTATGTTTTCGTCAGGCGTTTTTTACAGGAATATTTATTTCCGGATAAATAAATAAATAGCTGTTCAAGCTTAGTAGTTTCCTTTATGTCATGCATAGCCTTAAACCTACTCTTAATGCAGACCCTAAGTTTCTTTCAGTTGTGGTTAAATCCGTGCCTAATGCAGTTAGTCATGGCGTTGCTTACAACGCCACAATATGTATTCAGAAAACAACGGTGGCTTCTTTTTAAATAATTAAGAGATATCACTGGGTGTTTTCATTGTAAAATACATTTAAGTAAGCCTGAGTGAGAGTGAAGTTTAACGCACATCCTATATATACCTTGATCAATCCTCTTGCAGAACGCGCCTTTGCGTTGAGGTGAATAAGAATGGTTGTTGTTGTTGTCTGGTCTGTACTTTTTAAAGGGGCATTTGGTTCGAAGAAGTCAGCAAGTAGACCATAACGACTGACGCGGTATTTTCGAAAGGTACGTATTTGAGAAATAACTTTTCGAAGAATTTATAGTTGCATTCTGTTAAAAAAAATAAGCAGCACGCATCTATATGCTAAAGATAAATATTTATCGAAAAATTGAGACTTTCGTTTGACTTCTTCTAAGACATCCGTTCCTTAATTTCTGTATTGGCAGAAAGATGAGATGGAGTTGTTTAAACTGTTGCCAATGTTGTAACCAAGCACCAATTCTAAGTCAATATGTTTGTTTTTGCGTAATTAAGGTAACGAAAATCCTTTTCTTTAAATTAGGAATTTTACCGCATTAGAAGAAAAATCAGCTTGATAATTAACACGAACAATTCAAACATTGAATGCCTCTTGTTTGGCGTAACTGTTTAAGAAGCAGAAGATGATAATATCATATGTTTACTCAAAACAATGGGATACCCATTGGAATATGTTTTTTTTAAAAATAACTCATTCCACACTCGTTACAGCATAAAGCAGCAACAGCAGAAACATTGACGAAACAGGTTTCTGAACATTAAGCTAAAAGCTAAGCGGTATACGGTTTAGCATGTTTGTCCTTAATAATTAATACTAATTTTATTCACAATTATTTACAATTTTTGTAAAATGTGCATTTGCTAGGTTGTTACACAAAAGCTGATTGCCTTCGAGTAACATTTTGATAGAAATCTCGATTTATACCCTGAAAATTCATGTGCTAGTTGTCCCACCTCCAATTTATATACTTACTGATTCCCGCAATTATTTTTCCATTATAATTTAGAGATTATATATCAGAAAAAATTATTAGAAACATTGGGGGCCCATATGGTAAAGTCGACGACCAAAGTTCCTACGTTCGAATCTCGGGTTTTCCAACCGTTGATTTTGCGGTCCGACTAAATGATGACGGTTTATGAGCCAGAAATTGCCATTCCAGAGCCTACCCGGGTTCCATTACGGAGTTCCACGGCGAAGCGGACTTGCTTTTTCCTCCACCAGATCGGTAAAGCCCATGTACTTATGCAGTATTGCGTCTATTATTCCCAAAAGAAGACGAGCAAAAAGGGTGAACGGCGTTAATGAGCAGACATGTGGCTATAAAGCCGTTTAGTGAGCTTTCCGCCGTCCATGATCACATTACGGTAATGGTCTTTTCGGTGGGCCATGAGTTTTTTTTCTTCATTTTATCGCCTGTCTCAACACAGGGAAATTGAACTGCCTATTTCCGGCAGATTACTACTGATAAATTAAATTCAGCCGTAGTTACTTACCAGATTTCTTTCTAATCGGTTGCTTATTCTTTAGAATAATGGAACAGTGCATCAACAACCGCCAGCTTAAGAGCAGTCATATCCACCTCAAACTGTAGTGAACAGTGCTCCCCCACATGCACCGACTGGCCCGCAACCGCCACCATACAGTGAAATCTCAGAGAAAAAATCAGAAAAAAGCGCACTTGGGGATGACAATTAAAACGTGACATTCGAAGTTTTTAAATAAACGTACAATAGTTTTCATGGCTTTCTGAATCTAACTGGGACCGTCTTTACATTTCAGCCGGTATGCACGTTACTACGACAATACACCCCTCAGATGTAAGTCAAGAACACGGTTTTCATGAGCCGAGAGGGTAATTGTGAACGTGGCTTTCCTTTATTTTGGTGTAGCTTTCACAATGCTACAACAGCATGACTGATATGGTTTTTATCAGAAAATGATTTGGATAGAAAATAATTTATTTTAAATCTAATATCCTTAAATTGTGTGTGATAATTCCCTAGAAGGTTTGTCAGACACACTACCAAAATACACTATCTTGTCCCAGCCAGTAAGCCGGATGCAGACATTTTAGTCTACGCTGTCTTAATCAGTAAGACCATCC